CCCACTATTATGATTTGTATGTAGAGATGTTTTCCAAAGGATTGTATTTTATGTAGTTTTTTTATCATACAATGGCAAAATAATTTCTGACATCCTTTCCAACATATTTCAAATCAGTTCTCCCTGCAGAGAACTGAAAGACAAAATGTGGAGAAAATATGGACATCTTGCTTGGCATCAATTCCCTAGTGCACAAACTGTGCTTGGAAAGAAACTGGAGACTATTCAAATCTCACTACTGATGTCCTGGTTGAATACAAGAAATATATATTAGTCTTTAACACTTTGTAGTACAATTTGATGCATTTCAGAAATAGGCCTTGTTGAACTGAATTAAATGTACTCTAAGGTAAGTGCATAACATTGCAGGTCTAAATATATATATTATAGAATAGTAGCAAGCCATCACTGTTGAAAATGTCTTGAATTATAGTTATTTTTTAAATTTTCAAATACATACAAAGAAATGTCCTAATATGGCTATGGTCATAGTGAAAATATTTTTGGGAGCTGATTGGAAAATAATAATTATCCTGTCTTGTCAGCAGCATGAGATTTGATAACCAAATTGGGTTTCAACCACCACGAGTTCATATTTTAATGTAAATTTTAAAATGTCTATATTCACAGACTGGGAGCAAACATTAAAACTTTTATAGTAGAAGAAAGTTCTCTATAATATTACCCCAAACTATCAGTCTATTAGCAAGTAAACACCAATTATCACAATGTAGTTTTCCTTTTTACAAAATAGTTGCTACTTAGGTGAATCACATTTTATAATGCAGACTATTGTTGCTTTGGGAGAGGTGGAAGGAGGGTGGCAAGTAAGATTCTAGCCTTTGTATATTCATCCAGCTGTTGTTTTTTTTCAGAGAGCAGTATGACTGGATGACTAGCTAGACCACTGAAAAAAGAGACATAATGTCTGTTACACAGACTTGAAATTAATTTTTTCAGAAGCAGTATGCTTATAAGTTTCTACTCTAGAGAGATTATCTAAGGATGTGAATGTTTTGTATCTCTTCTAATATTTGTAATTTAAACTAAAAGTAACAGTGAGAACTTAGAACTAGAAATGTAATTTCAAAAAAAGGACATTAATACATTGCCAAAATACCATATTTAACTCTAGAGCAGGGGTGTCAAACTGCCGGCCCGCAGGCCAAACGCATCATCCCAAAACCGCGCCCACCCCATTGCCAGCAATGGAGAAAAAGCTCCGATACGTCACGAGTTTGACATGCCTGCTCTAGAGGTTGATGCACTCGGAAACAGTTGTTAGTTCCTTTCTCCAAAGGTACTGCTCATTTACCAGTAAGGCCGCTTAGGTATGAAGGACTATAACTGATAGCACTACCAGATATTAGTATTATCATTGTTTTCCCCCCTCTTCATTTATTTTTTCCATTTATATTTGTGATGATTGGTTGAACTGAAGAATGACATGCAGCTTTCAAGACACAATGCTGACAAGGTAGATCTACAGCTAGGCAAGAAAGACAGCAAAGAATGAATAGTGAGTAGAAGGGATCATAAGTGTTCTTACTGCCCTTTTAAATTCTCAGTTTTGATTTTTGTTCAAAAATGTCTCAAACATTGAACAATGGTTTAAATTTGTAATATTTGCCTTTTATAATTTCTAATATATTCCATTCACATCCATGGAGTCATAATGACATTCTCTAGGAACAGATTGGCAGACTTCAAAAATTCAGAAATTCGGGCCTGTTCTTCCCACAAGGAATGCAGGTTTCTCAATTATCTAGACTAAGAGCTTCTGCTTTGTAATAAATGTGAGTCTTAACTAAAATATAATAACAAAAATTGTACAAGTTCAAGCAGGAGAAGAATGTTTGCTTTTTAAGGAATTCTTATACATGTTGCCTCCATGCTAGTGATGCTTAGTGGACTTGACACTTTTCCTGAGGTGCAAAATTTAACTGCATAGCTCTTGATTTTCGATATTCAGCACATCTAGAATAACACAGGTTTCTGTGGAATAGAATGAGAGTACGGGGAAGAACAGTAATCCTAGAATTGGAGAATGATAGGTTGGAGAGGTTGAATGATAAGATTAGATCTTATAATTTGCTAGCAGCCAAATGAAAGGTTTGAACTACTTTTGGTTAGTTTCATGGTTTGTGAATAAAAGAATTAAAAAGAAATACTCCTTTATATAATGTGTACATAAAACTATGGAACTTGATTGTCTGCAGATACCAATTTATAAGATTTTTATAAGAAGGCTACACCAAATAATGGAAAAAGTTGCTTTTGGTAGGGACTGGTCTGGATACTTGTATATCACCCTTGGAACTGAAGGCAATTTGCTCTAAATACTCACTGCAGGGGAACAGCTACAGAAGGCTATTGTCTCACATCCTGTTTTGGATTTTTCAGTTAGTCATAGTTAGCATGTTTTATGAAAACAGCCACTTATTTGTAATAGTGTGGTCAAAAGAGCAGTTCTTTCATCTATCTTACAACTATTGGTTTGGGATCCTAGATTTGAATAGCTTATAATACATCAGCACAGAGGGTCATCTTTCCTCACTGATTTAAGCTACTTTAAAGAGGAAACAATAAAGTGTGTGGAAGATTAAGTCTCAGAAAGCAATTAGGAAATCCAAAAGGGTGCTCCATTTAAACTAAACTAAAATAGATAGGACCAGATTGACTTTATGTTCAAATTCTCCCAAGTGGTGGAACTCAGATCAGTTTTATCATGCTTTCCCTTCATGAAATCTGGTCCTTATTGTTTACAGTATTTTTAAATATCCAGCTTTTATCCTTAACTTTTATAGGAAAATATAAACCATTTCTCTTGAGAATACAATTCATGCCATGAATTGTAGACCTCATATCCTCATGCAGATGCTGTGCTGCCTCTTTCTTTGCTTCCAGTCCATAACAAATGGCTGTGCTGTCGTCGCTGGGATATTCTCTGCATGACTGCTCAGCATCCTTTTATTCCAGTTGAATTGGCTGTTGATGTTCCTTTATGTGTAGCATGGTTCATAGGTAATAC